TACAATATGAATACAAAATAGAAAAATTGTTCAGCATGATTGACGAGATTAAACGAGATAAGTTTGAAACCAGAAATAACAATCAGAGAAAAGATGTTAACAATAAGTTTGGAAATAATAATAATTTAATCAGAAACAACAGTACGATTGACCAAAAAAAAAGTAGTTATCAGCAAAATAACAGAAACTTCAGTCAAGTGAACACTAATAACTTCAGACAAAATGTTGGTAGTTTTAAAAATACGACGAGATTAAATCGAAACGTTCAAACAGTAAAAACACCCTCCAAGTGTAACCATGATAAGGAAGCGTTAGTTCATTTAGAAGCTGTATTTAGAAACAAACATTTAAAATGCCTACTAGATAGTGGTGCAGATGTAAATCTTTGTCCAAAGAAATTTGTTGATGATTTGAAAATTTTGAAAAGTAACAAAGAATTGTATGCAGTTAATAACATGGAGTTAATAGTAAACGGAACAATTACACTGCCATTAGAACTTAAGTATCAGAAGATTCTTACAACTTTCTATGTGTCACCAAACGTTGATCATATAATTCTAGGAAAGAATTGGTTATATGATAACAATTGCATTTGGAATTTTGGAAGGAGTAGTGTTGTAATAAACGGAAAAAGTTACAACCTCGTAAAATCTAGACAAGAAACAGATATAAGATGCATTTCGAAAGTTACAGCTGTCATCCCACCCCGCAGTGAAATGTTCATTCAGACGTTTATAGAAAAATCAAATTTGAAGCCTTTAGGACAGAATACAGCATGGTCAACTAGCATAAATAAAATCAAAAACAATTTGTTAACTGCGAGATCATTAATTGATGTCAATAAACCGTCTACGAGTATTAGAGTATGTAACATATCTGATGAGAAAGTTGAAATACCTAAGGATCAAGTAATCACCAAATTACATGAAGTAGTTGTAGTTGATGATGAAGTTCAAGAATCAAATAACAAGCCCACCAAAGAATATGATGAGACTATAAAAACAATAGTTGATGAGGTACATTCCAGTGTTCCAAATAATATTCGTGGTAACTTGAGAAAGTTGTTGCTGAAGTATAAAAATATTCTCTCATTAAGCGAGTTTGATTTAGGAAGAACTAATGTAACGCAACATGAAATTGATACCGGAGCAAACAGACCATTTCGCCAAGCATTGCGACCGCAACCTAGAGCACATCTACCAATCATTGACAATTTGTTAGAAGAGATGTTACAGCAAAAAGTTATAGAACCTTGTCAGAGCGAATGGGCTTCTAATTTAGTATTAGTTAAAAAGAAAGATAATTCCTACAGATTTTGTGTGGATTATAGAAAGTTGAATGAAATAACGATTAAAGATGTGTATCCACTTCCTCGAATAGACTCATGTCTCGATTTGTTGTCTGGATCCCAATGGTTCAGTTCATTCGATTTAAGATCAGGATATCATCAGGTTGAAGTTCATCCTAAAGACAGAAATAAGACCACGTTTGTTTGTCATCGCGGTACTTTCAGATTTCCTAGAATGCCATTTGGACTTTGTAACGCTCCTGCCACATTTCAAAGATTAATGGACAATATCATGATAGGATTAAATTTTGAAACCTGTTTAGTTTACTTAGACGATATAATTATATTTAGTAAAAATTTAAACGAACATTTAAAAAGATTAGAACTGTTGTTTCAAAGATTGCACCAGGCAAATTTAAAGCTCAAACCGTCGAAGTGTCATTTAATGCAGAAATCAGTTAGCTGTTTAGGTTATATAGTTAGTGATAAAGGGATCGGAACGGACCAATTAAAATTACAGCAATCAAAGATTGGCCAGTACCAACTACACTGAAACAAAGTAGAGCATTTGTAGGTTTGTGCCAGTACTACAGACGATTTGTACCAGATTTTTCAGAAATAGCAGCTCCGTTATATGAATTGACAAAGAAATGTAACAAGTTTCAATGGACGCACGCATGCCAAACTGCTTTTGATAGTTTGAAAGAAAAATTAATCAGTTCTGAAATATTAGCTCTACCTAATGACGAGGATGCATTTATTTTAGATTGCGATGCTTCAGATAAAGCTATGGGTGCAGTACTTTCACAATTACAAGATGGAGTAGAAAAACCCATTTGTTACGGTAGTCAGTTATTTAATAAACATGAGATGAATTACAATGTAACCAGGAAAGAATTACTTGCAATTATAACATTTGTGAAAAGGTTCAGGAAGTATCTGATCGGTCGTTCATTCAAAATAAGAACAGATCATGCAGCGCTTCAGTGGCTGAGAAAAACACCAGAACCAATAGGACAACAAGCAAGATGGATTGAAATTCTTGAAGAGTACGATTACACTATTGAGCATAGGCCAGGAAGTAAACATACAAACGCTGATGGATTGTCGAGAGCAGTATGTGGTGTTATAACAGAAAACAAAGTAGAAAACGGTGTTGATTGGGTTGCAGAACAAGTGAAAGACAAAGACCTATCCTTAATTAAAGACGTCATCAAACATTCAGTAGTACCAGATTTGGGTCAATTTGTTGATAAAGAAAAAGATGTTAAAATATTACTTGCACAGTATGACTTAAGAGTAAAGGATAAACAATTTTCAGAAGGACAAATGGTTTATTATTATAATCCAAAGCACGTTAAAAATAAGTATCCTAAGGGGACAAAGTTATATGACGGCCCTTACATGATTTCAAGACAAATAAGTGATGTAAATTTTGAAATTAAGAAGTGTAATGGTTATAAAACTATTGTCGTACACATAAATAAATTGAAGCATGTATGAAAACAATGTTTTTGTTTCCTGTGTTTTGTTTAATTTAATTTTAATTTAATCTTATTTGTTGTTATGCATATGTCATTATATAGAGACTTATTTGAACTGTACAATTTTCAGACAAATGTCATTGTTTTGTTATTTTATGCATATGTCATTATATAGAGAATTATTATTTGAATTGTACAAATTCTTACAACTGGCACACAACGTTGAAATTGGTGACGAATTTCAAATTACATCATTCAATGGTACATCATACAATGAAGCTTTATTACACGTCTTACTTACTAAACTATCTTACGTTCGTAAAAATAAAGCAGACGCCATATTAAATTTTAAAAAAAACTTTTATTAGGAATAAAGTAGTAAACAGTTTTTCTTTTTGTTTTTAAAACAAATTAAAAGAGTTCAAAAGTAGGAATGTCTCCTAGTTCCCAGATCAGCGCTTGCACATCCGAATCGTCTAACTCAAGTGTGATGAGTTCTTCCACAGCGTCGTTGTCGAGGTTGGGGACGACTCTCTGATCATCTACGCTTGGCCTCGCACTTTCGTTCTGTGCTGGATTGTCCGCCTTAGTAGCCCTCCTCCCCACACAATTGTACTTCTTATGTCTAACCAGGTGTCGAGGTCTTTGCGCCACAAACCCACACTCGCAGATTTTCTTTGTCACGGGAATTTTGTTTTTTTTTCTTGATTCATACTTATTTTATTTTATTTTTTTTTTATTGTTATGTATTCGACAGAAGAAGATTTGTTTTTTTTTTTTTTTTGAAGATTTGTGCCTTCTCCTCATTGGTTATAGCATTCCTTCCTATAATCATTATGCGCACAATTTTTGTTTTGTTTTGTTTGTTTTTATTTTTTATTATTTATTTCTTTCGTATTTTTGTTTATTTATTTTAACCAGGAAGAGGGGGTGGTGGAAAGTGTCAGAATTATGAAATAATGCTGACTAAAAATACTGCAAAATTTTCAACGCGAAATTTATTCACTCGATAGGGGGCATGGTGCAAGTTAATTTACTCGATAGGTGACAACGTATTTTTTTTTTTGTTTTGCAATTTAGATGACGTCATAAATTATTATAAATTATTTTAAAATCTAATTAATACTTTTTCTGATTAATTGGACATGCCTTGTAGATTTTTATGTTTTAAAACACCCGAAACAAAATCTAATTTTGTTTTGATAAGGAAGGGTGTGAAAAAACTTAGAGAGAGTCCGCTCTGGGTTGACTAGTGAGGCAGCTTCGAATAATCAGTGCCTCTTCTGGTCCCTAAGAGACTTAACGCGTGATTCTATGCTCATTGGCATAGTTTCAGAAACGTCTTAAGTTCTCAAAGAGTCAGCCTTGGGTTCACCAGTTAGGCAGCTTCGAGTAATCAGTGCCTGTTCTGGTATCTAAGAGACTTAACGCGTGATTCTATGCTCATTGGCATAGTTC